TTTATGTTACTGTTTCACGAGTAAAGAAAAAGACATGATTAAAAATATTGGTTCTAGATGAAAATAAAAACGCTTACAACGATACAAAAAATGTTGTGTACACTAAAGTCTTTCAAAAAATTTGGAATTAAAAAAGATTTTTTCGAGTACACTTTCAATTTCTCAAATATTATATTCTACTTTGTCATTGTTTTCCATTGATTAAAATTTGTGACAGAGATATATTTACTTGATTTTGGAATAAATATTTCATTGAAAAATTTCAAAATCGACAACAGTTTCGTTCGACCCCGTGCATCGCACGGGTCAAAATACTAGTTTTCTTATAGCCCTCACCCATTTGGAGACATCATTTTCTTCGCCTCATAAGTGGACGATGGCAATTCGTTTCCATCTGGAAGAAGTTCACCCAACAAACTTAATAAAGACGTGAAACTTTTGTTACTCCACCCATTTGCTACTTTTAAATTGAACAATTCCAAAACCCCCTTCAAACGTGTAAACTTTGTACAACCAGGATACAACGGGTGTTTTGAGCTTCCTACTAAGCTCTCATACATATTACGCTCCTCATCAATGACGACTTTATCAGGAGGAACATCTTGAGTGGCCCTAACTCATCTTCCATTTCAACCTCAAGATTGTGGATGTCGTGAATATCATTCTCGACTTGGTCATTATGAGTAAAGCTATAGCTGCAAGGATTTTCTAACTCTCCATGCTATTTCCATCGCATGTATGTTGGGTCAAAACCCTTGCGATACACATGTAATCTTATATCTTTAACACTATCAACCATAAAATGGTTGTGACATGAGTTACAAGGACAATATAGCTTTTTTCCTTCTTTTGAATGTTTCTCTGCGAAACAAATAAACTCTTCCAAACCAGAACTAAACTCAGGTGATGTACGCGACATATGAATCCAACTTCTATCCATCATATGAATTGCTAAGCAAGAAAGAAGGGCAAATGATTGATACATGCAAAACAATGCAGAACAAAATTATTAACACATACTCATTTTATATATACACACAAACATATAAGAAATGCAGGCAACACAATATTTTATTTCTTATGATGGTCCGGCAGCACTTCTTCATTATCCCGCGGCACTTCTTCAATATACAAATGGTCCTTCTTTACACCATCCTAACCCATTCTTGAAATGCCACCCTCACTAGTAAATGTATTTCATTTTCTTTGACCTATCAAAATTTTGGCAGCATTTCCCAATGGTTCTCCAAGTGCACGATGTAACGTAATTACATATGCACCCGAAGAACACATTTAGGAAACGTCAAACCAAAAAATGGCAGAACAAAGAGAAAGAAATACACGCACTACCTAAGTGAGAGAAGCATTTCAAAAACAGCTCCAAACTGAGAGCTCTTTAAAATTACTCCTAATGAGTAAATTTTAAACAGGTATCTAGGTCGGTCAATATATGTTATTTTTATATTATATTAGGAAGTATAATTAAATTAGGATACTTCTTTCCTTTCCTACTAGGATTATTCTTTCCTTTCCTACTTGTACTTTGATTACTCTTGTATTCCCTATATATAGAGCCATATCTCTCAATATTCAATAAGACAAGTTATTATCAAATTGTATCATGGTATCGGAGCTAAGGCTCTCAAAAACCTAGCCTCTCTTTTTTTTTCGACCGCCGCCCACCATGGCAGCCCCGTCGGATCCTTTGGCGTCCTTACCCTCCGGAGTAAAACTTTTGCTTCGAAGTCTCCACAACTTAATCCCAGAAAAACTCACCGAAACAAATTATCCGGCATGGTCTCTCAATGTCCAGACAGCTCTTTCAGCTAATCTCCTCCTTGGATGGATTGATGGTCATGAAGCAGCCCCGGCGCCAACTATCTCCAAAAACGATAAAACCGTCCCTAATCCAGAGTATACCTCCTGGACCATCATTGACACACAGATCCGCGCCTGCCTCCTAGCGGTCATCAGCCCCTCCGTTCACAAACATGCTCGCGGCTTCACCACATCTGCTGCCCTCTGGGATGCTTTGGCCGCACGGTACAACTCCGTGTCCACCGCTCATGTTTATCAGCTTCGGGACAAACTCCACACTCTTCGTAAAGGTACCAAAACTATGACACAATACCTTGATGATGTGGCAACTATTCTCTCGGATCTCGATGCCTTGAAAGAAGAGATCCCTGAACGTGATGTGGTGAATGCTGTTATTCGTGGTCTTCCCACCGAATACTCATCCTTTAAGCAAAACATTCGCATGAACAATACCAATATTTC